AAATAAATAAAATAAAATAAAATAAAATAAAATAAAATAAAATAAAATAAAATAAAAATTGCCAAGTTGTAGGGACCCTGTTAAAATGATGAATGTAATTATGTGCCCTGTTGCCGCTAGGCATTGCTGATCCCGGAAGGAAATGGAAGTGCTGCTAGAGGTGTCACAGACAGCTATGGTGATAGACATGAGCGCCTCAGACTTGTCCTCAGTATGGTTTATTCTGCAGGGCCTGAGAATCCATGCCTCTGGGAACCCAGAGCATGCTCCTAGGGGACCATTCTATGCACAATACTGTAGAATTTACCCTGCCTGCCTGAGGAGCATGCCTGATTTGGGCCTGCCTATCGGTATTTTCCTTGCAGCTGCACACTCTTTGCAGCTGGTCTGGCCATCCCTCAGCCTGTGACCTCGAAGCTGTTGTATTTGAGTCTTGGCTCAGAGTGTTTTCAGGCTCTTGGTGGTCCAAGGAAAGGGAGATTGTAGGGAAAGTGTGATCTACTGAGGTGCAGATCTTGGGTGGAGGCTCCTTCTACCCCATCAATCCAGTATTTCTTAGTTCAAGCCTCTGAGAAGTCTGGGAACTTGTCGATAGTCACTGCACAAGACAGATTTTGGGTAGAAACCATGTCTCTAGGAACTTCGATAGGTGAGGCATTCTGAGTATGTATCTCATGTGATTGGACCTTGTGACTAGGCTCCTATGCTTTTTTTTTTTTTAATTTGTGTGTGTGTGTGTGTGTGTGTGTGTGTGTGTGTGTGTGGCCAGCTTGCCCACCAGGGGGCGGGGCTGGCTGGCATGTGGTGCTGGGGGATTGAAAGACAGTCCCTGTGTTTTGCTTAGCTTGTTTAGGTAGGTGCTTTAGACCACTGAGCCATCTCACCAGCCCCAGGCGCCTATGCTTTTGACACTGAGACCCTTGCTTGGGGAAATTCGATTAGAATACACCTAGAGTTTGGCTTTCATGTAATTTATTTGTGACTATGCTTCTCCCAGTTCAAGTACATTTTTCTTACAAAACCGTCATTTTTTTAGCATTGCTTTTGTCTGTAAGGATAATCAGTTACTTATTTCTGGTTTTTGTTTTCGATACAGCTACCCCCAAATATTTGCTGCTGGGATGTTATCTGGTGTATTTACCACAGGAATCATGACCCCTGGGGAACGAATCAAGTGCTTATTGCAGGTAAGAGTGTGACCAGATGGCAGACAACTAGCTTTTTCCATTCAGCAAAAATTTTGTGAGCATGTTTATGTCTGTACTCCCTTTATAAAGGCTTCAGGTCAGGTGTACAAAACAAACAGTTCCAAAGCTTTCTGGAACATGGAAGCAATTTTAGTAGAATTGAGAATCAAGACAAGAAAACAGACCAAGAAAAAAGTCATACCTGCGATGTTTCAGTCCTAGCCTACCCATTTTTATTATCAGTTATTTTAGGAACTCTGAAAGATGAGTTATATCTTGCCAGAGCTGGTAGAAGGGAAGCTGTTTTTGTGAAAGAAGTCTTGTGTCTGTCAAAACCCCAGTGTCTTTAGGTCATTAATAGTGAACCTTTTAGAGCTAAGTGCCCAGACTGCCATCCAGACTCCACTTATTTATCACAGAGTGCCAACACTACAGTTAAACCTGACTACTGAGTTTTTTAGTTTCGAAAAAGCAACTCATACATTAACATCTTTTGTCTAAAAAATGACATGTGTACTGTTGGTTTGCCATACTACAGCTTTAGGATATACTCCATCCTATGATTTTGTAATTTCAAGAAAATTTATTTTATTTTTTTGGCAGAACCGGGGATTGAACTCAGGCCCTTGCATTTGCCAGGAAAGCACTTATTCCACTGAGCCATCTCCCTGGGCCCCTCAAGAAAGTTTAAACAGAACAAAAGAGAAAAAAATATAAATAGAATCATACATTGAGCTGAGCATGGTGATACACAACTGTAGTCCTACCACTCAGGAGGCTGAGGCAGGAGGAGCCGTGTGAATTCAAGGCCAGTCTGGACCTGAACTACATTGTAAGACCCTGTCTCATTTGTAAATAAATAATAGAGATAGAATCATATAGTATGTGAATTTTTCAGATTGCCACTATGATTTTCTTTTTTTCTTTTGGTGGAACCAGGGATTAAACTCAGGCCCTTGTGCTTGCCAGGGAAGTGCTTATTCTACTGAGCCATCTCCCCGGCCCCTGCCACTGTAATTTTTTGGAGATGCATTCATATTGTTGAATTTTTAGGTTTTTTTTTTTTTTTTTGATACACTGTTTTACTCTGTCTGGACTTGAACACACTATGTAGCTATGCTGGCCTCAAACTTGCAGTGATTCTCCTGCCTCAGCCTCCCAAGTGCTGGGATTACAGGCATGTACCACCATATCAGGTTTAGATTACTGAATGTATAAAAAGTTCATTATTTTCTTTCTTCTTACCTTCCTTCTTTCCTTTTTTTTTTTTTTTGATACTAGATCTCCCTTTGTAGTACAGTCTGGCTTGGAAGTCAC